CTGTTCATCAGGCAGGGAGTTCTGGGAAAACGACACGTACAGTAACTGTTGTATTAAACAGGAATTTAAGAATGAATTGGTTCAAAATCTATATAAATGTGATAAACATGATACATAGATAAGTTTGACATAAATGTCTACCACTTTGTCTACATTATAAAATCCAGAATGCTTCATTATAGATTAATTTATTGTTAATAGCCTCGGTTTATTTTCCATGTTCTAGATACCATCAAATTTTAGTTAAGAGCAGTTATATATATAAAAAAATCCAATGATACTAGCAACCTGCAAAATTTATTTAAAAAAAAACTTTCTCCATCTTGTGGCTTGCATTTTTGTTGCTCGTCTGAAAGTAATTTGCGAGATATGCGAATGAAATAATTAGATTCCTTTGATGTCTTACTTCATTCCCTTCTTGTCTTTCTTCTCCGGTTTGTGTTTGGAGACCCTGCTCCTTGAGGCCAGGGAGATATGGATGTATAGCACTGTCATGATAATGACAGGGAGATAAAATGCTGCTATTGCTGTTCCAAATGTCACTGCAGGATTAGAGAGGAACTGCAGGAAGGAAAGAAAGGAAAACTGTTACATAAAGCAAGTTTCTTTTAATGTACGGTCAATATTTTACTACATTTACAGATACAATATACATCATGATACCAGAACTTTGATTATTGTTGTGTTTGTAAACTCACAAAATTAGTTATAGCGACTCCATTAAAGTTAATCACAGGTAAACATTTAAGAGCTGAGGGAAAAACCACGTTAGTGTAACAATAAGAATCCTACTTGAGGTTGACTGAAAACAGATAACACTGTTTATAAACTCCAGACCAACATCATTCTACGTTATGGACGCTACCCCTGCCAGCTGGGGGTATTTTTACTCCCTCTCGACTACTTCCAGGTATCTGAGCTTTTATTACATTGATTCCCGATTACTGAAAGAGAACTTCATGAGCAGGACTTTTGTGGTTTGCATTATTAATGACAAATAGATGAAAATCTGTGAGGCCTCACATTTTAAACTAACAATTACTAAAGATTTTATTCAGAATAATGAAAGACCATTCAATAATAACCTTTACAAAACCTTGCAGTCATCAGAATGAAAGAGCACTCATGCATTACACTGAAGTTACTGATGGTTACAGCTTCCAAAGACAAGTAGGAATCTGACTTTAGGGAACTGAATTTATCTTTCCAGGATCTTACTGGTTTCTCTAATTGCTGTAGTTTGTTCTTCTTCTGTTGTCCTCAGTAACTCGGGTCCACATCATAATTCTGGACTAGCCATTTAATTATGTTTATCTAATCATCTTCAAGGACATTTTAACCCATTTTGCAATGTGACAGCATGTATTTAACAGCTGATTTAAAATGTTGAAGCAACAGCTTCTGAGTAACAGTGTTCACCTGACAGTAAAGTTGTTGTTGGAAAGTTCTATTAAGTTATCGGGCTCTCAAAAGAATCATTGATTTCTTTTCTTTTCCCAGGGTAGAATATCATACAGCATGCATCTTTAATGACTTTTAAAACACCAGAAGTGTTTCAGAAGAGGCTCAAAAGAGATATGAAATAGGATAAAACTATACGTGCAAATATACTTAAATATTTTAAGAAGTGGTGCAGAAGGTTCTGGCTTTTAACTTAAAAAGTTCAAGGCCTGGTGACGTCTCGTTAATGATCATGATTGTCTTCAACTACTAGTTTCTCTTTTTTGACAGCACTCGTTGGACTAAACAGTACTGCCAATAAAGAGAAAGTCCAAAAACTACATGAAGATCTAAGAACTGTTCATTTAAAGTTGGGAAGGCCTTTCTGAGACATTTCTGAACAAATGCAAATTCCAAGATACATTCAAACAACATGTATACAACACTGGTCAAAAGGTTCAGAACACTCCAATG